TCCATTAGTTGCTGAGGGCCTCCCTAAATTGCTGAGGCTGCCTTTGAACTTGGGGTCCTCCTACCTCAGCCTCCCAAGTGGCTGGGATTAGAGGAGGGCAGCCCTGCACCCGGCTAGCCCTGCCTGGCTTCTGAGATGGGAATGGTCAGAGGGGTTTGGCCCTGGTCTCATCTGACTCCTTTTCCTGACTGTGAGGCTAACTATGGTTAATGACCACAAGATACAGGCCCTGCATCCCAGCGCCCAGTAGGTGCCCAGCCCTGCCTGGGGAGGGTTTTTTTTTTTTTTAACCTTTTGGAGAGGGGTGCTGGGGACCTGGAGCCTCTCACAGGGTAGGCAAGGGCTCTACCACTGAGCCGCATGCCCAGGGCGAGAGTGGTTGAGCTACTGTGACCCACAATAGTTATCCCCTGAGGTCAGCACTGCCGTGCCCTGGGGGGCCCTGTTGCTGCTTTTCCCTAGTGGAAAGGTCAGCTCCCCCACTGAGACACCAGGAAAGGAAATATCAGGATCAGCCAACCCCAAAGCCTACACCAGCACATTTCTGGTGATATTATTCCCAGAATAAATGATACCAATCACGGCAGGAAGAAGCCGCTTCCTGGACTCTGGCTCTGGGCATCTGCCGCCCTGTCAAGGATGGTCCAGCTTCACGGCTGATTTAGGGTGAGGCACGGGCGCTCTCTCTGCCCATCCTCCCTAGCCCCCTCTCCTTCTCTCTGGTATCATGTTTATCCATCCTGTGACTCACTCTGGGCCACTCTGGGCCTGTGCACCTCTCAGGGGTGTCTTCACCTGTCTGAATCCCAGATGTCATGCTATAAATTGCAGCAGGGCTGGCCGGCCCTTAAGGGACAGCAGCAATACTGGTGCTACCGAGGAGGACCCTCTGAGGGGGTGCCATGGGCCTGCCCTGGTGGGCCTGCAGTCCCTGCGCAGGCGCCTGAGCTGCTCTGGCTGGGTAGCCACAGGCATTCCCAATGCGCTTTGGGTCTCGGAGACCCCCAGCCAAGCCCAACCTTGACCTTTGGGGCCCTGAGAACAGGGGGCCCCATCCAAGTCCCAGTGAGGGGTTACAACCCATGTTCAGTGTAGATGTTCCCGTCAGCGACTCATCTGTTATCTGGGCCCAGAGGCCTGGTGGCGCCTGCCAAAGCAGGGGCACCCAGCAAGCTTCAAAGACCGGGCAAGCCCCGCCCCCACCACCCTCACAAAACCTTGGGCCAGGTGACCAGTGGTGCTTGGCCCTGACTCTGGTTCTTGGCTGTGGCCTTGTGGGCTTCTCAGGGCATTGTGCCCACACAGTGACCTTGCAAGTAGATCACTTCATTCCCTAAGCCTCTGTGATGTTGCTGCTGGAGAAACGGAGGCCCAGAGACTGATAGATTTGCACAAAGTCACACAGTGGAAAACCAGGATCTGTCTGTCTGAGGTTCTCCCAGGCCACTCCCTTGCTTCCTGTCCCATAGCTCCTTAAAGCCCCCTGGCCCCAGAGAGGAGTGAGTGGTAATCCTAAAAACACTGAGTCTCCACTCCTCTGTTTCCTCCTCTGATTTGGCATAGAACCTTGAGCCCTACTCCACCCCACCAGGTCTCAGTTTCCCCATCTGAAAGGTAGGTGGACCTACCATGCCAAGATCTGCTCATTCTGTTTTGCAGTTTATATTAGAAAAGATGAACCCGCTTCCGTGAGAATGTGTCAAATTCACAGGAAGTTTGCTCCAACTGTGAGCCTCCTCCCTCTCAGGGCAGGCCAGCTGGCTGGAGCTCTGAACCCACCAACTTACTGACTCTGACTCTGAATAAATAGCTTAACCTTTCTGGGCTTCCTCAAGGGTAGTTAATATAAGAAAAGAATGTGGCATCACGAGAAAAAAAAAAGTATTTAGCATATAGTAAGTCCTCAATAATTGTGGGCTGCTCTTATTTTTATTCTTGTTACTACCACTTGATTCTCGTTTCCTTCCTTACTTATTTAAATGGAGGGTTGAAACCGGGGCTGCTTAACCACAGAGTCTCCTCTCCAGCTCATTTTATCTTTTGAGACAGGGTTTCACTAAGTTGCTGAGGCTGGCCTCCAATTTGTGATCCTCCTGCCTCAGCCTCTCAAGTCTCTGAGATTACAGGCATGTGCCACCTCACCCAGCCCCCCTTCAATTTTGAGATCTCCCATGCTAGTCCTGACATCAGTCTCCTCCACTGCCCTTGGACCAAGAGGAAATGGGGTACGTAATGGAGAGTGGACAGTCCTCAGATTGTCTATCGGTGCCTCTGGCTAGATGCCCAAAGCCAAGGCTATGCACCCCAGTGGAGGCCACCTTTGAAGTCACTGCCTTATGTAACCCCCTGTTCCCTCTCATCTTCCAATGTGTCCTTACAGCGACCTTGGGGAGGAAAACCGAGGCCCTGGGCCAGTAAGCCTGAGGTTTCTTTCATGTGACTTAGGATAAGTCACAAGCTGGGACAGCAGAAGGATGGAGACTCCTGTTAAGAGAGTTTTAATCCTGCAACCTGCTCTTCCCAGCTGGGTGACCGAGGGCAGGTTACTCAACCTCTGGGTCTCAGTTTTCCATGTACCATGTAGAAAGTACGTAACGCATAAAGACATTGTGAGAAATGAGCAACAGTTTAGAACACAGTCGCACACCGTGGATGCTTTAAAAAGAGCAGTTGGACTGTATTTATACATTAAGCCATAAATAATAATAATTATTATTAAGAGCATTCAGTCGCCAGGCATGGCGGTATGTGCCTGTCATCCCAGCAACTGGGGAGGCTGAGGCCAGAGGATGACAAGTTCCAGACCATCCCAGGCAACTTAGTGAGACCCTGTCTCAAAATTTAAAAATAAATAAATAAAAAGGGCAGGGGACTAGCTAGTGTCAGAGCATCCCTGGGTTTGATTCCCTAGTACCCCTCCTAAAAAGAAAATAAAAATAAAGCATTCACTTAAAAGTAGATTTGAGGGCTGGGGATGTGGCTCAAGCGGTAGCGCGCTCGCCTGCCATGCATGCGGCCCGGGTTCGATCCTCAGCACCACATACCAACAAAGATGTTGTGTCCGCCAAAAACTAAACAATAAATATTTTTAAAAAAATGTAGATTTGAATCCCAACAGCATGACTGAGAAACGGAACTCTGGCTCAGCCTCAGTTTCCCCCATCTGTAAAATGGAGAGAACTCCTCTTAGCCAAGAAACTGGCAGAAAATTGAGCAAGGGGATCTGGGGAGGGAGCAGTACTCCAGGTTCAGGAACAGTACAAGTTCGCATAGGCTGGACTCTCCTCCTTGTGCGTCTCCTCCATCTTGGTTCCCAAAGCCTCTAATGTGAGTTAGGGAGTGTTTGCAGACATACACTCCCCAATAACCCCTGAGAGGGCGGGTATGGGGCAATTATTCGGGTGTTTCCCTCCCCTTTCCCATTTCATCCAGGCTTAGAGTCTGAAAGTGCCTGTCACCAGGCTCCAATCCCCCGACCCCCAGGTAACCACCTCCACCTGCCCTCGCGGGTGTAGACCGAGACCCGCAGGGAGGAAGAATATTTGCTCAGCCTTCAAACGACTTGGCAGGCAACAAGAGGGGGAAGGCCGCTGGGGACAGTTCAAGTTGAAATTACTCGGAGAGAAGGACGTGTACATCAGCTCTGAAGCTCATAAAAAAATTTTTTTAATAAAATTAAAAAAAAATAAAAACCTGAGATGATTGAGAAGAGCAAACCACACCTCCAGAAGGAAAATGGAAAAGTTCGTCAAAGGCGCTCTTCCAAGCCTGGTGGGGAGCGCAGAGGGTGTCCGCTTCGGGGTCCGCTGGGATGGGCCCCGCCTGCGCGCCCTCCAACCCGGGGCCCCTGCGCCCCTCGCCCCTCCTGCGATGGCGCTGGGGCTGAACCTGGACGGGACCCTCGGGGTCGCCAGGAGGACGGTCCTGATAGGCTCAGGGAGGGTGGGGGTTCGTCCCCACAGAAGGCAGAGGCCAGATCGGCCATTCTTGGGCGGTCGTGCAGTTGTTGGGGTTTTATTGAAAGAACACTTGGGAAACGTGAGCATTTTAGGCAGCCGAATTGCAGGATCCCATGGAACCTTCCAGAACGAGATCCAGACCCTCCCCCCACCTCTCCTTCCCTCGCCTCCGGCTTCCACTTGCGCGGAGGTGAGGTTCGCTCTCCGCCCCACGGGGGGCGCCTCACCCCGAAAACCCCACTCCGGGTCGCTGGGCGCCCGGGGAAGCGTCCACGCGACCCAGCTCGGGCTGCCCGGGTGCCAGTCCCCACCCTCGGCCTCCTTGGTGCAATTCATTAGCCCCACGAACACCCGTTTTATTCGCCGGATAATTCCCGGACACTTTAGAGAAAAGCCAGGACATTAACCTCACGGCCCGTGCCCTGGCCCTTGTCACCACAAGTGGAGTGTTCTCGGAAAAGCAACCGCGCCGGCCCCAGTCCCGGCAGCCCCCGGCGCGGAGCGCCAGGCGGAGCGCCAGCCTCGACCGGCCTCACCCCGGCTCCGGGATGCAGGCGGGAGAAATGCTCTATAAACCACCGACTGGACCCAGCCGGAAATTGGTCCTGATGCAGGATCCTGGCTTCGAATGCGCTTCCATAGCTTCTAACCCCCGTGGAGTGGCAGTGATGGGGGACATTGAGGCTTTGAAGGCCAGAGTGCCCCCAAAGGCAGGCTACCTGGAAGACCTGGAGCTTGCGTAAACCTGGGGTTTGCAGGGTTAGAATCAGGACGGGGCTTGAGAAGCCTTGCTGACCTCCCCGAATTCAGCTGAGCCCCCTGGTTCGACCCACCTCGGACCCAGGGTGGATAGAAGGCCATGTTGGCGCCTTTTGTCCTCACCGAGTTGAAGATAGCTCCCCTGCTCCCGTCCCCTCCCGGTCCTCACCGGGTTAAAGCCAACCCCTCCCCCATCCTGCCTTCTCTCCCCACCCCCTTCCTCCGAATTGAGTTTCCTACAGTCTCCTAGTCAAAGCTTCACCATAGGGTTGCAAGGGGATTCGAACCTACACCTTCTCATGCAGTGGCTAAGATGGTCTTAGCAAGCGTCACAATGGTCTAGAGACTTTGTGGGACTCGATGGCAGAGCGCTGGCCCAGCCTGCGGAGAGGCCCGAGAGTTCAATTCCAGAACCACAACCAGGGCTTATTTTCATCTCAAGCTCCCTAGAGACGCTGATGCTACTGGTCTTCGAATACATGCTGGAAACGACTGTTCTGTTGGGCTGACGTCCCCTGGGCTCCTACATATCGTACCTAGTAGCAGACATGCAAGCCCCTTAAAGGTGAGCGCACAAGCCTTCTCTGTAGACCCCCAGCGCCTAGTTCAAGGCTTGCACACCATCGGTGCTTACTGACGATCTGCGTTTAATCGTGAAGGCTAAAGCAATGTTCCTGCGGTTTGCAGATGTTAAGGGTGTACCTGGCGCTTTTCTGGAATCAGAACCAGCAGTTCCCTTAATGCGAACGACAACAAGGGAAGTTAAGAACCCCTTGGCTCAGGGGATAACAGGGACCGGGAGAGGAACAAACGGGCCTTTTGTGGAAGGTTAAGGAGGAAAAGGGGCGGGATTTCAGCTAGCTGGTGACCTGCGCCCCCAGGGTCCCTGCGCGGAGGAATATACCACCCCCCACAACACATACACCTTCACAGAACGCAGTGTTTTGCTCAATGGATATGCGTGCCCCCAGCTGGGACAGACCCAGCGCTCCCTGGGCCGGGCTTTCTGCAGTCGTCCCCAACCTTTGCAAAGGTCCCAGAACCTACGCCAGTGCTTCAGGGCATCTCAGATTCTGGAGGATTCCACAATTTAGGGTCAAGAGGGAAACCTATCCAAACAGTGGGGGTGGGCACAGGCGATCTGGGCCTTCCAGGTGGTCAGAGCCTCCCGTGGGAGAAAACTGACACCCACGTGAGGATCGTGGGCCTGATGTTCCAGGTTGAACGGAGAGGGTGACCCTGGAGAGTCCAGGCGCCCCCATCGCACACCCTCCAGGTAGTTGTGGGGCCAGAGCGTCCTGTACTCGGTCGCCCAGTCTCCTAGCCCTTGAGTTCAGCTCACAGTGCGGGTTCCCGGCCACGTCGTAAAAAGATTTACAAGACTATGTTAAACTGGCAGTAAAAACAATTAACTTTAATGGCACCTCGGGTGGGTGGCTGGGTGGGTCGGAGGGAGGCCAGGGCCTCCTCCTCTCCAGACCAGGAAGTCAGGTGAGGGAGGGGACCCCCCACACCCTGCTGGGAGGGGACCCCCGCACCCTGCTGTCTTCCTTTTGTGCCTCGGACTATCCTGCTGCTGCCCTAGAGGTCAAAGGTTCAAGGTTAAAACCAAGAGGGCTGGACTTGGGGGCTACTGAAGAGTTCTGGCCCCACTCGGTGTCCCAGCTAGTAAACCCCTCCAAGACTCACTCTTCTCATCTACTAAATGGGAATTTGGGTTTAAAAAAAAAAAAAAAAACCTCCTTTCTTCCCGTTGTGAGGATTTCAAATGACAGTGATTTCAAAGTGCCTCCAGCCATGCCTGGTAGTTATTTATTTGTTTATTTTTAGAGTGTGCGTGTTTAATAAAGCTCGGTTTTTGAGCACTCAGCCTCCCCAGATGTAATATAAAGACCAGATCTCTGCAAAGGTCACGGCCGCCTTTCAGAGTCCTGGCTCGGCCAGTGCCACTTAAACGTTGGTTTCCTGCTAAAATTGACCTACTTGTCCAGCCAGTGACCCCGGAAGCGACCCCATGCTCCAGTCGACTGCAGCCCCAGGCTTTGAAAGCGACCTGGATTTCTGGAGAGCCGGCAAGGAAATGAGAGTGGCCAGGGGGGAGGGGGCAGGGTCTCTGCCTCCCATGTCCCCTGGTCCAGTCCGGAAAGCCCTAATTCTGCAGGTCTCCTTGGCCTGGAGACAATTAACATCCATTTCAGAAAGCCCCTGTTTGTCTGTGTCTGTGTGTGGCCCACTCGGCCAACAGGGGCTAGGGAGGGATGCCCCCAGCCGGGGACTGCCCATGTGAGGACACTGCCCATTGGCCAGCTGCTCTGCTTTCAGCAATTAGTGCTGGAGGAAGATGTCGTCATCTTCATCCTCCTCCTCTCTCCCTGGGGCCATCTGGATTTGCCTCGGGAGGAGTTCAGACCGGCTTGCCCTTGCTAGAACCTCTCAGTCCCCATCTATGGGCCAGACAACTGCAAGCAGGTGGCCAGGTGCTGCCATGGGGTTTACAGACTCCAATCAGTGCCAGTGCATGCACCCTGTCCTCGCCTTCCGGGGCTTGCCAGCAGCCACTCAGTCCCCAGTCCCATCTGTTCTGCACCCTTCTTCCCCAGCAGATAGGTACCTTGTTCGTGGCAGGGTCACACATTTTATAGAAGGTGGGTGCAGTGGGGGTAAGGTCAGCAGGCTAAGCGCATCCGAAGACCAGTCACAGAACGTCAGTGTAGATGCGTGTTCCTCACATGGCGCTGTGGGACTGAGGTCTACCGCTGACCCTCTCTGAGCTCAGTCACTACTTACACTTGGCCACACCAGATTCCCTTTCCCTCTGCTCAAAAGGACCTGCTTGTTAATTTTCCCGATTCCTTGTGACCTCATGCCCACGTGAGAGATGTGTAGCACGGTGCTTTCAGACAAGGGGTGCAAGACAGACTGGCTTGACCCACATTTATCACTCATCAAGCTATTTTTACTCTTCTAGGTTTCAGTTTTCTCAGGTGCGAAGTAGAAACACACCAGGTGCCATGGCTCACACCTGTGATCCCGGCTGCCCAGAAAGCTGAGGCAGGAGGATCGCAAGTTCCAGACTGGCCTCCACAACTTAGAGGGCTCCTACTCAAAAAAAAACCAAAAAACAAAACAAACCAAAAAAAACCCCACTTAAATCAGAAATGGTGGCACACGCCTGTCATCCCAGCAACTCTGGAGGCTGAGGCAAGAGGATCTCGAGCTCAAAGCCAGCCTCAGCAATTTAGCAAGAAAAAAGAAAAAAAAATACAGGCTGGGGTGTGGCTCAGTCATTAAGCACCCCTGGGTTCAGTCCCTGGTACCAAAATAAATAAATTAATAGAACTGGAGATGAGGCTTAGTAGTAAAGTGCCCCTGGGTTCCATCCCCAGTACCCATAACTAAATAAATGATACATTTTTAAAATAAAATTAATGATGAAAAAGATTGGGAATAGAACTCAATGACAAAGTGACCTGGGTTCAAATCCCTACTTCCAAAAAGAAGGGAGGATAATAATTGTCCCCATCTCCTAGGCTGTGGCCACTGAATGAGTTAACAGATGGGGGTGTTTGCAGCCCTGCCCGGCCCACAGCCAGCCTCCAATGCACATCCTTTGCTGTTGTTTGATAACAGGGGGAGGAACTAGGCCCACCCTGTGGCATTCTGGCTGGAAAAGCCAGAGGCTTCCAAAATAATAGCATCCTGCATTCATAGATCTTTTCCAGCAAATACTGTGAAGCCTCCCCTCCATACCTTACTGCTCATTTTCCTTGCCATTCAAGGACCTTTTTGGTTTGAGGGTCTACTTTGTCCTGGTATGACTTGGGGATAAATCACCATGTCGGCGTGCAGACTGGACTTCTGAGATTCCCAACATCCGGTCACCCAGTCCTTCCTGCTACTCCCCCCCCCCAAAAAAAAACAAAACTCAGACCAGCCCTTCCCCCAGATCGCCCCCCAAGAAAGCCCCTTGCACCTCCACCACTAGCCTCCTGCTCTGTTCCAACAAGAAAATCCATTCCCAGAGAACAAAGGGAAGGAAATCCACTGAGCAGGACATGAACAGTTATCCAAAATGATACAATTTAGCAAAAAACTCCTCCCCCATTCTTTGCCTTTTCCAAACCAATGACAGTGCAATTACATGAAGAGGCAGTCACACAGCCTTGGGGGCATAGGGAGAACCCAGCTAGGAGCCACTACATGGCACCAACAGAAGACCAGGGGGCCAGGTGCTCATCCTGGGACCAGGGAACGAATCCCATCAGCAAGGACCCTCCTGGTCATCAGTAGAACACTTTGCTTACACGGTGCTGTGACATCTTTTACAGCGTTTGTTTTTCCAAGAGAAAACAAAAACGTTGATTGACAGCTTCTTATTCACCCCCTCCTACCCCCGTTCTACAGACACCAGAAGTGGAGTTCAGAAAATCATGGCACTGGATAGAAAACGCGCCCAATTTAGAGAAAGAAGTCGATTTGTTCGCCTATTTCAGGACTATTTTGAAATCCTACAATAATTACTCACAGAATTGGCCCAATTGCATTGCCATGTCATGTGCGTGTACAAAAGGTATCAAAGAACCCACTTTCATGTGCGATCACCAGGCACCAATAAAAACATGTCAAAAAAAGAAAATGAAGGACCAAAACATGCTCACACAGCTTGCATTTAAAAAGAAATATGGAAAATACGATAAAACAGAGGCCTTGTAATAAGGGAAATGAGTGGCTTGGGATCCTCCAGTCCAGGTCAAGCCTTCAGATGACTACAGTCCAGCCAATATTCAGACTGCAACTCCAGGAGCTGGGGTGCAGCTCAGAGGTAGAGCACATGCTTAGCATGCAGGAAAAGCAGGACTTTAGCCCCATGAGACCAGGACCCAGACCTGTCTAGCTCAGCTACTCCCAGATCCCTGGCCTAAGGAATTGTGTAAGATAATAAAAGTACATTGTTAAAAACTTTAAGCCCTGAGTTTGGGATTATTTGTTATGTAGCTGTAGCTAACTAATACAATGTGCAAATACCCAAAGTCAAGGAGGAAAAGAAACAAACAAAAAAGATCAAGATACATTGCATGAGGGCTGGGGCTGGGGGCTGTAGCTCAGTGGTGGGCTTGAGGTGCTTGCCTGGCATGCATGAGGCACTAGATTTGATCCTCAGCACTACATAAAAATAAATAAAGGTATTGTGTCCATCTACAACTAAAAAGTATTTTAAAAGAAAGAAAGAAAGATACACTGCATAAAATCTTAGATTTGCTGGGAAGAGAAGCAGGAGATTAGAAGCAAACCATGGGATACCTTGCAGGCCACAGGATTCGGCTGAGAAGCAGAGTCAGCCTGTCCAGATCACTCCATTTAAAAAACTACCCATCAGGGTGCAATAGCCACACCTATATCCCAGTGACTCTGGAGGCCAAAGAAGAAGGATTGCAAGTTCAAGGCCAGCCTCAGCAACTTAGTGATCCCCATCTCAAAATTAAACAAACAAACAAAAAGAACTGGGGTATAGTTTGGTGGTAAAGTGCCCCTGGATTCAATCCCCAAAGCCAAAAATTTTTTAAATTAAAATATGACCCTCAGGAAAAGCGAACGGTGGGTACTTGCTAGAAGGAAATGTGTGGAAGAGTGGAATAATTTTTCTTTTTTTTTTTTTTTTGGACTGGGGATTGAACTCAGGGGCACTTAACCACTGAGCCACATCCCCTGCCATTTTTTATATTTTATTTAGAGACAAAATTTTGTTGTTTTAGGGCCTTCCTAACTTATTGAAGCTGGCTTTGAATTCCGATCCTCCTGCCTCAGCCTCCTGAGCCGCTGGGATGACAGGTGTGCGCCACGGTGCCTGGCCAAAGTGGAATGATTCTTATCCTGTTTTGTATTGTTTTATTTGCTTTCAAACTATAAATTTTCAAATTCATCCTGCTGCATGGAAGAAACCGTACTCAAAAAGCTATATGCTGTATGTTTTTGTTTATTTTAAGACATTCTGAAAAAAAAAAATTCAAAACTCTGGGAACAGAATACGCATCAGGAGCTATCTGGAGCTGGCAGGGGCTGGGGAAGGTACAGAGGGGCTGACTCCAGAGGGACTTGAGGAAAGTTTTTAGGCTGCTGGAAGCTTCTAGATCTTCTAGATACACTTGCATGCCTTCATCAAAACCTATAGAACTCTATACTTTCAAAGGTTGAATTTCAATGCATATGTATGATACCCAATTAAATAAAGCTCAGGAGCTATTAGAATAGGTTTGCACGCTCAGAGAATGACGTGGTCGAGAGGGGGAAATTAGTCATGCACCAAAGGAAAGATGAGCAGGAGATTTGCCAAAGACAACTGTGATGGAAAGGTCACCTCCATCACTTTACTAGCTAAGTGACCTTGAGCAAGTTCATCTCTGAACCTCAGGCTCCTCATCTGTGAAATGGGTGTCCCTATCCCTAGAGTCCACAAAGATGGTGAGCTATGTCAAGAGCCTCCCAGGGCGCCTGGCCTCCGTAAAGGCTGGTAATTACCACTTCCCCAAACCTCCTTTCTACCCCTCCTGCCAAAGCAAGTTCCATCAGGTACCCCAAAGCCGTACAATTAGTACTCAAGTCCCAGGAATTAACAGACTTCAGAAGAACCCACAAGGCCAACCACAACGGCCACACCAGGTGCCCGGCACCGCGCCAGGAGCTCTCCCTTCATTCATCCTCCCTGTCACGCGACCAGGACAGTCATGACTATCACCTCGCCAACCTCACAGCCCGTGCTCTCGATGACGTCAGGTCTCAGCTGTCACCTCCGTCCCCTAGAAGAGGTCAGAGATAGGCAGATCGCCCAAGAGACTGCAAGAACTGGAGGACACCCCGGCCTAAGACACAGAGCTCGGTCCCTTGTGTGGATGCTGGGAGGAGAGGACCCTGACGCTGTCTGTCCCCAGTGACATGTCAAACTGGAGCTCGTCACGTCCTCACCTGGACTCATCGACCTTGCAAAAGGTCGTGCAGCACAGTGGTTAGCAGCGCAGCCTCACCTGGGCGTGGGGGCACATTTCATGTTGGAGAATTGCGGGGCACGTAGCTGGGTGCCGTGGCGCACACCTGTAATCCTTGTGCTCGGGAGGCTGAGGAAGGAGGATCGCACGTTTGAGGCCAGCCTCAGCAACTGTGTGTGAGAGGGAAGAACAGGAGGGTGGATCAGCAGTCTAAAAAAAGGAAGGAAAAAAAAGCACAAGAGAGACTTGTCTTTCTTTCCTGCCTGCTGTTTCCCTGCGGATTTATCCCTGGGGTTCACATAGACGGAACAACTCACTGGTCAATGACATACTGTAACAAACAGGGTGGAGAGGGTCACAGTGTCCAAAGGGAACCCTGGACCGGCTTCGAATGAAATCACCATGTGTATAAAATGAAAATGGTTGAATATTAGCAATGTCATGAGGTTTGACCTCGTATGAATTTGAAGCCTTACATGTGTGTGAGTGTATGAGTGTGTGAGTGAGTGAGTGAGTGTGTGTGTGTGTGTGTGTGTGTGTGTGTGTGTAAAAGCAATTCCAAAGACACTTGTTTAGGTTGACATTTGATGTTCCTAATTGGAAGCCCTGGCCCCTGGTATCTCCTATTGTGGCTGCATTAAGAGACAGGACTTAAGTGTGTCATTAAGGTAAATGAGCTCTTTAGGGTAGACCCTATTCCAAACCAACAGGTGTCCCTATAAAAAGAGATGGGGACACATGGAGAGACAGCAGGTCCTGGGTACAGAGGAACATCCTTGTGAAGAGGCAGCCAGAAGCAATTAGAGAACTGCAAATTAAAACTAGAGATTCCACCTCACTCCAGGCAGAGGGGCAATTATCAAGAATACAAGTAACAACAAGAGTTGGCAAGGCGTCGGGGAAAAGTTTCACTCAGACATGGCTGGTGGGACTGCAAATTGGTGTAACCCTTCTGGAAAGCAGTGTGGCAATTCCTTAGAAAACTTGGACTGGGGCTGGGGATGTGGCTCAAGCGGTAGCGCGCTCGCCTGGCATGTGTGCGGCCCAGGTTCGATCCTCAGCACCACATACCAACAAAGATGTTGTGTCCGCCGATAACTAAAAAATAAAATATTAAAAATTCTCTCTCTCTCTCTCTCCTTCTCACTCTCTCTTTAAAAAAAAAAGAAAAGAAAAAAGAAAAGAAAACTTGGACTGGAACCACCATTTGACCCAGCTATCCCACTCCTTGGTTTATAACCAAAGGACTTAAAATCATCCTACTATAGTGACACGGCCACATCAATGTTTATAGCCGCTCAATTCCCAAGAGCTAAGCCATGGAACCAACCTAGGTGCCCTTCAACAGATGAGTGGATAAAGAAAATGTGGTATCATACATCATGGAATATTACTCGGCCATAAAAAAGAATGAAAGAATGATGGCATTTACCAGCCGATGGATGGAACTGGAGACGATCATGCTAAGTGAAATAAATCAGTCCTCCAAAAAAACTAGAGGTCGAACGTTCTCTCTGAAGTGTGGATGCTAACCCACAGGAAGGGAGGATAGGGAGGGAAAATATAGATGTTCATTGGATTCAACGAAGGGGGGAATGAAAGGAAGGGAGGGGGAGGGGGAGGGGAATAGGAAAGAGGGTAAAATGAATTGGACGGAACTTTGCTGTGCTCAATATGAACACATGACCAGTGAAACCCCACATCATGTACAACCACAAGAATGGGAAGTTATACTCCATGTATGTATGAGATGTCAAAATGCATTCTCCTGTCAAGCATGACTAAAAAGATCAGCAACCACAAAAAAAAAAAGGCAGCCAGAGGACAGGGGTCTCCCAAAACACAGCTCCACCATCTCCACCTCCATCTAGGACTCCCAGCCTCCGGAACTTGAGAAAATAGCCTCTGCAGTTGTAGACCCCATGTCTGCAGGACTTTGTTACGGAACTCTCAGAAACTAGTGCAGTGTTTGGGGCTTGGGAAAGGACCAATGATGGGACCCAGGAGCACTTTACTGCTGAGCCACGTCCCCAGCCCTTCCTGGGTTTTGTTTTATTATTTACTTATTTACTTTGATACAGGGTCTCCCTCAGGGGTTGAGGCTGCCTTCCAACTTGTGATCCTCCTGCCTCAGCCTCCCAAGTAGCTGGGATGACGGGCGTGGATCCCCATGCCTGGCCAATGTTTGTTTTTAAAGTAAATTATTCTAAAAAGAAGGCCACAGGTCCAGAGAGCAATCCAAATCCCCGTTTCCTCTTCCCAGAACTCCAGGCAAGACCCTCCGTCCAGGCTCCTGGGGCGCTGCTCCTGGGTACTATGGTTCCTCTCACCTCCTCCCGTCACAGCAGTGATGTGACACATTGGCCCATCCCGAAGAGCAGAGAGGACATCAGAGACGCATGGGAGATACACAGAGTGTGCCTTGGCCTTGGTGACTGTGGGGCGACAGGCAGGTTCAGGCCAAGGTGTGTCGTCTTTGCGCACCCCCACCTGTCCGTCATTCCTGCATCCGCCCAGCTCTGGCCCTGCAGAGAGGGGGTAACCCCTGGCCTGCCCAGACCTGGGCTTTGGTTCCCTAAGTGGGTGGCCCTGGGCTAGGACCTGTAGACACCCAGGGCCACCCCAGAGCGGGACAAGTGGAAATCATCCCACGAATTGTGAACTCCACAATTCGACTTTTAAATTGCAACTCTCAAGAAAAGAAAAAAAAAAAAATTAAATAAGAACAACTTGGAGAGCAGCTGGGAGACACACGCCCCGAATTCCTCCCCGAGTGCCACAGAGACTCTCTTGAGCCCGTATCTGGGCGCTGACAGTGGGGAGAGAGTGTCTGGCACAGGCCCGGGGAGCGTGCCTTGGTTCCAGGAAATTCCCAGGGCAGCTACTACACGCACCCAAGAGCCCAGAGTCTTTCTTTGAGGAAAACAATCCCAAGGTCATTGGCCGTGTTCCTAATCGGAGGCTGAAGAGGCCCAGGGCGGGAGGCCAGCTCTCAGGCGACGCCTGGGCTTGCTGGGTCTCTGACCCGACTCACAGAGATCCGAGCTCTCCCTTCTCTGCTCGTCCCCCGCTGTCCCCCAGGGAAGCCACCCCTGCAGATGCATCAGCAGCCCTTGGCCAAGGAGGAGGCCCAGGAGGAAGGCCGGAGGTCAGGGGATTGAGAGGCCACGCCCTCTCTTTCCTACCCTCTCCTTGGAGGGGCTTTGAGCCTCAAGGCTGTGGTTCCCGGGGTCCAGCCCTGTGCCCAGTCTTCTCCCTTCTCTTTAAGCCCTTCCTATTGGGGACCCCACAGTTCTGATTGCACCTTGCATGGGATCCCCCCCACCACCTGGCTGGTGAAGCCGAGCATCCCCGCCCCCACCTCTGTCCCAGGTGTGCGGTGAGCACCGAGGGGTTAACCTGCCCCCGAGTCTGCAGAACCTCGCTGCTGCGTGAGACATAATTACAGAGAATTACCCTCCGCGGCCTTCTGGGAAGGATTTTGTCAGAGGGAAGGTAAATAAATGATATCGTGCGGTTCTCCTTTCCCCGTGGGCTGGTTAACTCTTCCAGAGAACGTTCTCCAGAGACGGGGGCCATGAGCGTCGTGGCCAGCCCAGCCCAGGATCTGGGGCTCCCTTTTCTCTCCCAGGCCCTCCCTGGGCTGCCCCCGGCCTGGGAGCACCTTCTCTGTAGGAGTGGATTCTTCTCAGAAGGGGTGCAAACCCCCTGCAGGATGCCAGGGTGGTGCCCCGTCCGGGCCTCAGACCCAGCCCTTGGCCCCAGGTGAGCAGGACCTCAAGGGTTAACCATCCTCGGCAGAATTCCTGGGTAAATACCAGCCACGCTGCAGATTTATTGCCTTTTAATGTCCTGGTCCTTCCATTAGCCTCGGCTTTGGATGCCTCTATCTTTTCCATCTGACTTCCCCCACTTACCCACCGTCACCCCGGGGTGAGGAGCTCTCCCATTAGCTCCTGCTCCGAAGTCTGGGCATAAAAGTCATCCCCCCCCCGCCACCCCCCCCACTCCATGCCCATTGAAATATTTACTTAGATCCTTCTTATCTCTTCCTGGGCATCGAGAGGCTTCTCCCATGTCCCCCACCAGCGGCCAATCTCTCCTGCTGCTGAGAACGTCCATGAAGTCCTTGGTGGCCCGCAGAACTGGCCTCGTGCTCTGCGGACTCCTCACCCTGGGAAGCCCTTTCTTCTGTTCCAGTTGAGCCCACGCGTGCCACACACACAAAAAAAGAGTGTCCCAAACCCAGCTCCCGCGGCGTCCACCACCGGCCCCTTGTCTCTCTCATGCAAAAATCTTCTGCAATATGTCACCTCTCAAGAATGACATCCTGAGGGCTAAGCTCAGCCGTGCGTGCGTGCGTGCGTAGACTCCTGGCCGTGTTGTCTCCTGGCCGGGACCCAGGGTCCAGACCCAGGCTGGCTGAGTCCCCGAGGTCACACTGCCACTTGTTGGATCTGTCCTGTTGGGTAAGGGATTCGACATCCTGAGGTAAAATGAGGTAATGCCCACTTCCTGGGTGGTAGAAGGGGGTCCGGCCAGGCTGAGAGTCCCACAAGGGTGACAAAGAGTAAGCTCCGTTATGTGCCAACCCATTCACCAACCAGCCCCCCCCCTTGACTTTGCCACCATCCTGGGGACACTGTGCACCCATCCGTCTCTCTGTAGGCTCCTTCTTCTGTCTTCAGCGGTCCCCCTCCTCCAGCCCAGGCTGGTGAACTCACTTGTTCCTAAGGCCCACCTCCAAAGTCCCCTTCTCTATAAAGCTCCCCGGTGCCCATAGCACTTAGCAGCCATCACTGCAGCTATAGCCAGGGACAGCCCCTTTCACAGCTTCGTGTCAGAATCGCCAAGGCTCAGCCAGTTCTAGAAGTTTCCCTAGCACAGAAGCACAGCCTCAGGACCTGGGTGCAGCGGACACGTGATGGATGCCCGTCTATTTTCTTTTCTATTCTCTGTTCCTCAGCCTGTTGCATCCGTCAGCTACTGCTGTGAAACAAACACCCACCAAACCTCCGTGCTTGAGGAACCAGAAGCATCGCTTTCTCACGGGTCTCCGGGGTCGGCTGATCTTGGCTGGGCTCAGCCAGGCTGCTCAGCCACCAGCTGCCCACCCATCAGGGGTGAGCACCCAGATGCAGGCCGGGCCGCAGTCTGCACCCGGTGTGTTCGTTCTAGATGAGACTCCAGGCCAAGGAGCCACGGCTACTCCGACAAAGCTCTTCGCTCAGCAGGAGCAGAGGTGCCAAAGGACCAACAGGGTCAGAACTGTCCAGCTGTCATTTTCTACCTAGTTCTGATTGGTCAAAGCAGGTCACCTGACCAAGCTTTAAGTCAAAAGTCAGGGGAGTCACAGTAATTGCCGAGAATCGCCAGGAAAAGGGTGTGGTCGGAGGGGCATGATTTTTTTAGAGTCAGTAGTTTGATTTGCCACCAGGTGAAAGCAGAAAAAAAAGGACGGATAACTTGACACCAAATTGAATTGGAGAACAGAGAGGGAGCTGCAGCCTGCAGGGACTTCCATTAAAACTTTTTTGATTTTTCTACGAATAGCAAATGGGGAGATATTGAAGAGATGCAGCATGGTGGTAGCTAATGATTCAACTTAGTCCGGCTTTCGTTTTTGTTTTTCAAGTTGTTTGCTTTTGTTTTAAGGATCCGGGGATAGAACCCAGGGTGCTTTACTGCTGAGCTACATTACCAGCCCCTTTTATTTATTTTTTTTTTTTTAGAGAATTTTTTTTTTTAATATTTATTTTCTAGTTCTCGGCCAACACAACATCTTTGTTGGTATGTGGTGCTGAGGATCGAACCCGGGCCGCACGCATGCCAGGCGAGCGCGCTACCACTTGAGCCATATCTCCAGCCCACCAGCCCCTTTTATTTTGAGAGCCTTGGTAAATTGCTGAGGCTGGCCTCAAACCTGCGATCCTCCTGCCTCAGCCTCCCTAGTAGCTGGGATTAAAAGCAATCTGCCACCCCACCCAGCACCTCTTGGATTTTTAAATGAACTTTTGGCTGATGTTGGGGAACAGATCGGCGAGAAAGGACAAAACTTCCACACACCCGATGGCTTTCGGTTCTGTACGTGCTTGAGTGTGAGTGAGTGTGTGTGCGTGTCTGTGCCCCCACATTTACTCACCCAGCTCTTCTCTGGAGAATATGGCACCTAGGATTTCTCTCTCATCACATCTGAGGAGCAGCTTATCTGTACATCGACTGGAACAATAACAGTTCTGTTCCATCATCTCACAAACTCCCCGGGATTCGCCTTTTTTTGCAGCGTGGAGAGCCGGAGAATGTCCATATGTTTTACAAATGTCAATTAACTTCACTCCCAAGAGGTGTTTTCTCTTCTTGTCGTAATTACCATACGAACAATAACAGCTTCCAAACATTCTGCATGTTCAAGTTTGCCAAGGAATTTATCGGGAGGGCCCCCAGGAGGGTGAGCGGGGAGCCCTGGCCCCATGGATGGGGACTGAGGATTAGGGAGGTCGTCTGGCTGACTTTGTTCACAGGATCAGGAAGAGCAGAGTCTGAAGTCAGTGCTTTTCACTCAAAACCCCCAGCTCCTTTGTTTTTCTTGCTGTTTTTACTCTGGCCAACAGGCCTGTCTGTTTTGATGGGGAAATTTGCTGGAGACCTCCACCCGGGGCCTCCTTCCATCAGCGCTGACCAGGTAGGGTGGTGACTCAGGTAAGAGGCTCCGGCCCTCGCACCTCTGTCCCCGACTCCCTGAGCACCCCTGGCCCGCAGACATTCCTGACAGGGCCTGGCTTCCTTCAGTCAAGGGAAACATTCATCTCCAACCGAATCACCCCGAAAAACCTGTTTGCCAGCGGAATCTAAGCCATCTTTCACAAAAGACCCGGCAAGAGAGGAGCTGGGGGGTTTGAACAGCCATCAGCCAAAGGAGCCAGGAAGACAGTGTGGCCGTCCTTGTCCCCGTCACCAAGAAACCAAAGGATTTGAGGCCTCAGAGGGTGGGAGGCTTCGGCTACGGAGGATCTTTGGAGGCTCATTTTTAAGACCCACCCAACATCGTGGATGCAATGGGCGGGGGCAGAGAGGAGGGAGAAGCCAAGGCTATGAAACACCGGGGCCAAGTGGCGGAGGGTTTCAAGATGTCAGTGTTTTCCGCAGGACGTGCTCAGCCTGACCGTTTCTGCCCATCTAGCAAGATCTACCCACTTGCACTGTAGGCAAAAGTCTCGAGGTCTGGTGGATGGGGTACTGCATTTATTATTGATAATGGCCCAGCAAAGAATCGTTTGGGCCCAGAAAACACCTGGCCCAGCCTGTTGACAGCTTATGGAGCGGGTACTTGAAATTTAGCCACGGTGGCCCTGTGCTGCCCTGGCCTGTGGAGTTCCCATCTGTGTGGCAGTTTCTCATAAGGACGATTCCTTAATTGTAGGATCCCATAGGTACTGGGAAGAGCCATGTCCTGTAAACAGATTCATAAGAAACCAACCCTTTGAAGAGCCGTGGCACACTCTTGTACCTTGGGAGGCTGAGGCAGGAGGCTCACAAGTCGGAGGCCAGCCTCAGCCACTTAGGGAGACCATGTTGCAAAATTTAAAATAATAATAATAATAATAATAATAATAATAGCAATGGCTGGAGATGTCGCTCAGTGGTACAGTGCCCCTGGGTTCAGTCCCCACAAAGAAAGGAAAGAAAGGAAATCCTTCAAAAATACAGTCTTTGACATGAAATATGTATTTCAATTTATAAAAAAGTGGGATGGGGCAGGGTTCAGTAGAGCAACTGACTAACAGGCACAAGGCCTAGGTTCAATCCCCTGCCCATCCTGGGGTTGTCCTCCTGCTCCTATAGGTCTGATCCCACCCGGGACAAAGGCAAGCTGAGCCCGTCCCAGAGAATGGGGAGGTGGGGCCATCAGCTTGGAGGGACCCCAGGCGGGGGGGTCAGTCCTGCTGTCCTCTTTCTGCTGTGTGACTATGTGTGCTCTTTCCCCTCTCTGAACAGGTGACTCACGGTCAGAAAGAGGCACAGACCCCCTCCCCACGGAAAGCAAGGCCCTGCTGTGAGCTCTCCTGGGGCAGGCTGAGGACCAGACCCCGCTTCGCTTCGGGCAGCAGAGCTGCGCAGGGAGGTTTGTTTAAAGCCTCCACCTGAGCAATGGCCCTGCCTCCCTCTGCTCCTGAGAGCGAGCACTGCCAGATAAACATGAGAGACATGTGTGCCGCTCCCTAAGGCAGATGCCCATTTATAAATGTCATCACATAGGACCCCCCAAAGGGACGCAGGCTTGGGCAGAGCGTCTTCCTGACTCTCCCGGAGTCCTGGACAGTGGGGAGGGGGATCCCGCACAGGAGTTCCACAAACTGCAAGGCAGCGGGGGTGGGGTAGGGGTGGGGTCCCAGATGTGCTGTGGGCTTAAGGACCCCGGATAAGGTTGACCCCACCAACCCCCCCTCCATGGCATCCTGGCAGGACCCTGGCTGCCCCAAGAATATCTATGCAGTTTTCTTTTTAGTACTGGAGATGCATGTTTATTTTTAATGTTTTCACACACACACACACACACACACACACACACACAATGTTAACTCAGCAGAAAGGTGCATGACTCACAAGTGCACAGATATTGGACAATGTCTACTCACACCTTAACTTTGAATGGTGTCTTACCCTCTTAGGGATGCGGGAGTACTCCACCCGATACAGGCAGAAAGGAAAGCAATGAGGGAGATACCCCATTCCACCCCTCCAAAAAAAAAAAAAACCAATCATCGTGGCTACCAACAAACCAAGAAGAAAGAGAAGTGATACCGAGAATTTCCTGGTGGAAATATCACCCCTGTCTGTCACAGGTTTGGTGCAAAGCACCAGGCATACTAGGGACTGAACCCAGGGCCATGTCACCACTGAGCCACATCCCCAGCGCTAAGTTGCTTGGGGCCCCGCTAAATGGCAGAGGTTGGCCTCAGACCTGCAGTCCTCCTGCCTCAGCCTCCCCAGTGGCTGGGATGGCCGGCATGCACCACCACACCTGGCTCAACGGGCATCTTTCTAACCCAAGTTTCTAACAGATACTGGGGACACAGAAACATAATCAATGACAATGCAGAGATGCCAATGGCAAGAGCCAATATGAATTTGGCTGTTGGAATGATTATTTACTGTCCTATTATTTTATTCAATTTGAAACTTGGTTTCAAGGTGGGAGGGGGGAGGTGGATATAAGAGATTTATAATCCCACAGGACGTAGACACCCTGTCTGCATCTCGACTGGAACAAATCTGATAATGGAGACACCGAGGAGGGAATGTCGAATCGTGCAGGTACTGTCTTGGGGTGCATGTGATAACAATATGTGGTTATGTTTAAAAGTCATTCGCCTCATTTGAAGATACACACTGAAATAAATAATATCTGGAGATGAATATGTGGAATGTTTAGAGATGAAATGACACGGTATCTAGATTTACATTAAAATAGTCCTCTGGGGGGTGTAAGTGAAACAAGATTGGCCAGGAGTTAATAATTAGCAAAGTTGGGCTGTGGGGAGAAAGTAGTTCCTCCTGCCAGTCTCTGCATTTTTTAATGTTGGGAAAATTGCATTTGAAAAAAAAAAAGTTTGGGGGCTGGGGTTGTGGCTCAGTGGTAGAGCACTCTTCTAGCTCATGCAAGGCACTGGGTTCCGTCCTCAGCACCACATTTTAAATAAAATAAAAGTATTGTGCCCAACTAAATACACACACACACACACACACATAAACTTTCATATATCTATATGAAAGTTTATGCAGGGCACGGTGGTATACACCTGTCATCCCAGCAACCCAGGAGGCTGAGGCTGGAGGATGGCAAGTTTGAGGCCAGCTTCCAGAACAATGTAGTGAGTCCCTGGTGGGTAGCTCAGTGGTAGAGCACCTCTGGGTTTAATCCCTATGGTAACACCCCTGAAAGTTGAGAGACCACCAGCATAACACCCCACCCCCAAGTCAGCAGCCACTCAGCCCCTATTCCACACCAAATGCTGCCCTGGGAGGAGGAATGAGGAAACCATCTATGTCCAGGGCTGACTCTGCAGCTTCTCCCTCCTGGACCCTGCTGAGCGAGTGTGGAACAGGATTCCCTCAGCCCTACTCCATGGATCAGCAAACAGAGGTCCCCCGAGAGCCAGCCATCTGCCAAGAGCAGAGAGGTTCCAGGGAGAGCGGGGCCACCCCGAGCCAGGGCACCAGCCATCCGGATTTCTTTTTTCCCCTCTGTGACCTTGGAGAATCACCGTGGTCACACCTCATTACCTTCTTTTTCCCTCCCTTTCTTCCCTCTTCTCAGGAATGTCTCCAAGGACAAATTCTCCCAGCAGAGAGAATGAAGATAAGCAAATTAAAGGGAAAAGATCTGTTTGATGGCCCTGAACGACACAGAGCAGGCAGCTGGGGAGTGGGGGAGGGTGGGGCTTCATTTAAAAGGTGGCCAGAGAAGGTGTGGCTGAGCAGCTGGATCTTAAAAGCTGCCTGAGGTGGAACAAAAGGAAATTGTGCCCGAGGTTCTAATTCTAGTTCTGTTTTGTGCTGAGTGACCTTGGGCAAGTCACTAGACCTCCCTGATTATTCACCTTCCCCAAGGAGAAAAGAGAAGGAAGGAAGGATTTCCTGTTAGAACCTCCGAGTGATGAAGAGATAACCAGAGCACCTCCCTCTCATTGTGTAAAGCAAGGAAAGGCAGGTTTCTCCCACGGCCCTCTCATTGCATTGTCCCCTGCCACTCACTGGGCTCACCAGCCACCTTCCTCACATCTTCTCAGCAAGATCCACCAGCCCCCCCCCCTAACTTCTAGAATGTCCTTGGAGGCAATAATATTCTTCCACTGAGGTCCTGGCCCCACTCTTGGCCCCAGACACATAGTCACCTTCTGGCAGATTCTGTTGGATGAATGAATATCAGACCTGAAATCAGTGCCTTTAGATAAAGCAAGGAAAGACCGCGAGTGGCATCTGGGGGCATGGCACCCGAGGGAGTGGCACCCAGGGCGTGGCTGGCTGCTGTGGCTTACTGCTGTGGTTCTCCTGCTGCTTGGACCCCCCAGACCCACTGAGGGGATTCCATTGACCTTGAACTTGACCTCCGCTTGCCGGTGGGTGTTCTGACTGCTCCCAGCGATCCCTTAAACCAGCCTCCAAATGCCCGTCTCAGGGGCTCCGAGTCCCTGAAGGCTGCAGCGCAGGCCTGCATCTGCTGAGGGGGATACCCGGTGCTGGGGCAGGGCTCCTGCAGGACTTTAGGAGCAAAAGCACCACAAGGGCATTTACGGGGTGAGGCTGGGAGAGGGGGCAGGGGGAAACCCCTTTTTTTAAGTGGGAAAGCTGAGGTTCTAGAGGAGCCAACCTGACCAGAGCTCATTCCAGAGGTGGGGTGTGAGGGGTACAGCCCAGACCCCCTCCGTGAGCCCAGATGGGCTTCAGCCA